TGTGATTGCCCTTCTTCTGTTCGCAGCCGCGCTTGATACACATTTCGCGTTGGTATTCCAGATCCTTCGTGTATTTATTGAGCGGCCCACGGCTGTTGTCCGATGCCCAGCCGGGATAGTTGGCATCGTAAATCTCACACCGTTTGCCCGGCCTTTTACTGGGGCAGAAGCAGACATAGTCACCCAGTAGATTTTCGCATGCAGCGCCATGCAAGCATGGATTCGAAGCGCATTCGTCCATCGTATCGATTTCACATTGCATGCCTTCGGTGCCAGGTGGACACTCGCAGCGGTAGCCGCGCATCATATCCACCACGCAGTTACCCGACTGGCAAGGATTCGAGTCACAATCGTTACCGGAGAACTCACAATTTTTGCCGTAGAAACCAACCGGACAAACGCAGTGATGACCAGACTGTTTTGTAGAGCAAAGACCGCCATTTTGACACGGCGAATTAGCGCAGAAGTCTACCTTAATTTCACAGTGTCGTCCCATGTAGCCGGGCTTGCAGTTGCAATGGTAATTGTTTACCAGTTGCACGCAGTCCAAAGTGCCGGCATTCGAGCAGGGATTAGACAGGCACTCATTGATGTCTCCCTCACAACGTGAACCCACAAAACCTGCTGGACAGGCGCACTCGAAGCCACCCACACGATCGATGCAAGTACCGTTGTTGTGACAAGCGCCTGGTACGCAATCCTCCTGGTTGATTTCGCAAATTATGCCCAATGTGCCAGGTGGACATGAGCAGCTGAAGGATTGCACCAAATCGTGACATGTGCCGCCATTCTGGCACGGGTTCGGCGAGCAATCGTCTATGTTCAGTTCGCAGTTCTGCCCCTGGAACCCCTTCGGGCACATACACTTATATTCGCCCACGCGATCCAAACAAGTGCCGCCATTCTGACAAGGCTGTGACTCACACTCATTGATGTCCGTCTGACAATAGCTGCCGGTATAGCCCTGCTTGCATTGACACAAATGCATGTTGCCCATCTCCTTGCAGGTGCCGTTGTTGCAGAGTTGTTTGAGACCGACTTGTTTGCGCATCGCAGCCACTTCACAAGAAACCATCTCCACATCGCAGAGCTTGCCTGTCCAACCGGCAGCACACTTGCAATTATACTGGTTCTTAATCTGTGAGGTGTGACCAGGACTGCAACACGTATGCGTGCAACTTTGACGGCAACGATTGCTCATTGGGCATCAACCCTTGGGTGAATTGCACTGCGAATATAGAGTGTTGGCGCGTGTTCATGGATGGCCAGTGTAATGAGGAGTGCAACAATGCTGCTTGTCTGTTCGATGGTCGTGATTGCGCCAAGAAACTACAACCATGTAATCCGACTTATGAAGCCTACTGTCAGAAACATTATGCGGATGGCCATTGTGATTATGGCTGCAATAATGCTGAGTGCAACTGGGATGGCTTGGACTGTGAAAATACTCTCGAGCAACCGAATTTGGCCGATGGCGCTATATCTGTGGTGATGCTGATGGACATCAAAACTTTCCGCGAAAAGCAGGTGGAATTCTTGCGTGAAATGGGTCATGTACTCCGCACTACGGTGCGCATCAAGAAGGACTCCATGGGCAATGACATGATCTTCACCTGGAAAGGCACTTCGCAATTGACTGAACTGCAAAACTCGGACTTCGGACGCAAGCACAGAATACTAACCAGTGAGCGCAATGATCAAACGGGCATACAAATATACCTGGAAATCGATAATCGGAAGTGCATCGACTGTTTCAATCGCGCCGCCGAAGCTGCCGAGTTCCTGGCGGCTTCTGCATCCAAATACACGCTCTCACCAAAGTTCAACATCTACAGCGTGCGTGGCGTACAAAACCCCGGCGAAGATGTAGAAGAACGTCCCAGCAACGTAAAATATGTGCTCATCGGCATCAGCATTGTGGTATTCGCATTCCTCGGTGTACTTGTGACTACGCAACGTAAGCGCGCGCATGGCATCACTTGGTTCCCAGAAAATTTCCGTACCACAACCGCTGCACCGGTTAATCATCAGCGACGGCGACGTGACACTGGCCAGGAGATGCGCAATTTAAACAAAAATCCCTCAATTGCTTGCATGAGCAATGACGTCAACATGAACTCCGGTCACATGGGCCACGCACCGCAATGGTCGGATGATGAGTCCGAATTGCCGCCACAGAAGCGCATGCGCAACGATCTCGGCGGGTACGCCAGCGATCACACGATGGTAACCGACTATGAAGAAGCTGATCCACGCGTTTGGTCGCAGGCGCATCTCGAAGTAGCCGATGTACGTTCGTCAATTATGACGCCGCCTGCGCACCAGGATGGGAAACACGATGTGGATGTGCGCGGACCGTGCGGCATGACACCACTCATGGTAGCCGCTGTTCGCGGTGGAGGCATGGATACTGGCGAAGACATTGAAAACACTGAGGATCAAACGGCACAGGTGATTTCGGATTTGTTGGCGCAAGGTGCTGAACTTAACGCCACCATGGACAAAACTGGTGAAACTTCACTGCACCTGGCAGCGCGTTATGCGCGCGCTGATGCTGCCAAACGTTTACTGGACGCTGGCGCCGACGCCAACTGTCAAGATAACACCGGTCGTACACCACTGCATGCCGCTGTGGCCGCCGATGCAATGGGCGTTTTTCAGATACTGCTGCGCAACCGCGCTACCAATTTGAATGCGCGTATGCATGATGGCACCACACCGCTAATACTCGCCGCACGCCTAGCCATTGAAGGAATGGTTGAAGATCTAATAACTGCCGATGCTGATATCAATGCTGCCGACAACTCGGGTAAGACCGCGCTCCATTGGGCAGCCGCTGTTAATAATACCGAAGCCGTGAATATACTACTCATGCATCATGCCAATCGTGACGCCCAGGACGACAAGGATGAGACACCACTATTTCTAGCAGCGCGCGAGGGCTCCTATGAAGCGTGCAAAGCGCTGCTCGACAACTTTGCCAATCGCGAAATCACCGATCACATGGACCGTTTGCCACGCGATGTGGCCTCCGAGCGCTTGCACCATGACATCGTGCGCCTGCTCGATGAACATGTGCCGCGCTCACCGCAAATGATGGCGCTGACGCCACAGACCATGATAGGCTCGCCACCACCTGGCAGCCAAGCACAGATCATCTCTCAGCCCACTGTTATTTCATCATCAAAACAGACAGCACAATCTGCGAAATCAAAAGCGGCGAAAAAGGCAAAGCTATTGGAGGGCAGCCCGGACAATTTGCTCGACGGTGGCAGTCTGCGACGCAAACCGGGTTCAAAAAAGGGGGCAGGGGGCTCGGTGTCAAAAAAGGGCGGACAAAACGGCCTTACGGCAGCACAGCTGCTGAATGGCTTGGGTGGTGGGCTGACAACGCACGGCCAGGGACTGGAGGGAGTGGACCAGCAGCAGCTGTTGGATGCCGGTCTCAGTGCGGTGGACTCGCCACCACTGACGGGGCTAACAAGTCAGCCGAGCCCGTACGACACGTCGTCACTCTATTCCAACGCGATGGCGGCACCAACACACCACCACAACGATCTGTTAGGCAACAGCAACGGCGCGAAACAACCACCCAGCTATGAAGACTGCATAAAGGTAAGACCTAAATCGAAAGCCATTAGAATCACTGCAGAAAATGCAATTTATCTATTTCTCCACACACAGAATGCGCAAACAATGCAGAGCCTAGTGCAGCAACAGCAGCAAAATAATATGGATTTAATCAAAATGGAGAATTACGTTTACTCGCGTGGTTCGCCCTTTCATCAGGAAATGATCGGCCAGAAAGGCAACAATCAGCAAAGCATGAATTCGCTTTGCGGCGGTGGAGGCGGAGGTGGCAATCTCGGTCACAATCTGCCCGGCAACATGGCCGGTCATGAGCAAGGGCTAAGTCCGCCCTATTCCAATCAATCGCCACCGCATTCCGTGCAGAGCAGCATGGCGCTTTCGCCGCACGCTTATTTGGGTGAGTGGAACAAAACGTTGCGATATACGCGAAAAAATACTTTTTATTTAATATGCTCATTTGTTTACCACAGGTTCACCATCGCCCGTCAAATCACATCCCAGCCTACCCACCTCACCCACACACATGCAGGCGCTGCGCCATGCGACCCATCAGAAACAATTTGGTAGCAATGTGAATTCGCTGCTGGGTGGCGCTGCCAACAACAACAACAACAGCAACTCTACAAATGGCCCACAGAGTAACGCGTCGATGAATTCGCCGCAGAGCATGAGTTTTCAATCGCCCAGCAGTCAGAGTTTGTCGCAACAGAGTTCACCGGTGAGTGTGGGCATTGTATCGCCGACGGGTAGTGATGGCATGATGATGGCGCCACAGCAAACCCAGCAGCAGCAACAGCAACAACAACAACAGCAGCAGCAGCAGCAACAACAACAGCAACAGCTGCAGCAACAACAACAACAGCAGCAGCAGCAGCAACAGAATTCGAAAAGCAGTGCAATAATGCAAACAATGCAACAACACCAACAACAGCTGGCGAGCCTCGATTTCGCATCGGCCGGCTTGGATTTGAATGGATTTTGTGGATCGCCAGGTAAGTCAATAAGCGTAGCGATGCGAGAGTTGAGATATTATAAAATCGTTGGAGAGTAGTGTTGAATTAGGAAAATAATTAATTTGAGTCAAAAGGATGGTATTTACCCTCTTCTAATTTTTTTCTAATTAAATTACATTTCCTCTTTTTTCTCTCTCTTACACTCTCTGCAGATTCCTTTCATTCCGGCCAAATGAATCCACCCTCGATACAGAGTACAATGTCAGGTTCCTCGCCCGCCACCAATATGCTATCGCCATCCTCCCAACACAATCAGGCCTTCTATCAGTATCTGACACCGACCAGTCAGCACTCTGGCGGCCATACACCCCAGCATCTGGTGCAAACGCTCGACAGCTATCCCACACCATCACCCGAATCGCCAGGTCACTGGTCGAGTTCGTCGCCACGTTCCACATCGGACTGGTCCGAGGGTGTACAATCGCCGGCGGCCAATAATCTGTACATGTCCGGTGGACATCAGGCCAACAAGGGTTCAGAGGCGATTTATATTTGACAATAAGCACAGGTGGCAGTGGTAGATTGTTGTGGTGAAGCTGCTGTGCACGGACGTTCCGAAAGCGTCAGCGTAAATGTTGTGTTATGTAAACAGTTATAGTATCCTACAAAACTATATATATAAATATACAAATGAATATTTTTAGTAGCATGTAGTTTGTACAAAAGATAAAATACACAAAAACAAAAATACAAACCGATAAGAACCGATTATAAGCTCGTACGAGTGACGAGAGCGCGCGTGTAAAATATGAAGAATAAATTAATAATGAATATCAAATCGGGCAGAGAACGAACGAACTGAAAGCAAATGCGGCGTCGAAGGAAGGGTGCTTCGTGAGCGCTTTCCATATACATATGTACATGTATGCGGATAAATGCCGTTTCGGTTGACACGCATTAGCTTGACACCCGGCTGCATGGAGACTTAGATGCTTCCTTTTTAAAAAAAAAAAGGAAGTCAGCCATATTTTTTAAGTATGCATTTTTTTTTTACAAAATATACATATACAACATACATAGATACATACACAGATAAACATAAATAAAGCGTGAATTATTGTAATAGTTGAGGTGCCTATTGTAAATTATTTTTTACTATTTTTTTTAATTGCCACCACAAACGCTTTACTTATAAAGTGCGAGCAGGACCTAGCGAACGAACTTTATTTTTAAATGCTACATAAATTCACGTACATATATATATTTTAAATATAAATTATACATACACACATTCACATAGCTTACAAGTAAATATTTACATGCATAAATAAATAACAATAATGAACAATACATACAAACATACATACATACATATAAAAATCAGCTGCAAAAAAGAAACTCACAATCGAATCTCCTACCAGAGTAGTAAAAGTAAATAAATACATAAATTTATAGTTATTTACATACATACATATGTATGTATGTAGTATACATGTAGTAGTGCAAGAAAATAGTATACTTTAAATATACGCGAATGCAAAAAAAAATCGAATCATTGTTAAACTATTGCGCGCACTTTACATCGTGGCGAATTATGTTACGAGAAAAAATTGAGAAAAATGTTTGCTTGCGCATCGAACTGGGGAATATAGATTTTGTTTGTCAAATAAATAAAATATGTACTGGCATGCAAGTGGTATACATATATTGCATTTTGTAGAATAGAGACTAATAGCCAAATTTCTCCACTTGGCACTGAAATGTTAAAAAATGTACCAATTATAAACTGGCATCGGGAAATGAACGTCGAGATTGATTTACGCTGGGCATTAAATGACAAAAAAGTATATGCAAGATTTACACCTCAATATTTTTTTTGGTGTGAAATATATTTTTACTTTCTTTATCGAAAAAAAGAATACACATATTTTTTATTTCATCATGTTTTTCGAAATTCGCGAAAAAAATTTCTGAAATTTTGAACTCACAAGAAAGTATCGTTTATCAATTTTTTTGCAGCTAATAAACTATTTGTTGGAGAAAATCAGTTAAGTTAAGTAGGGTGTGAGATAGATTTAAATAAATAATTTTGTGCATTAAAAATTTGCATATTATTATCTTTATTTTTAATCATTTTTTCATTAATTGTGCACCTTTTGATATTTTTTTTCAATCTAAAAAGTTGTCAAACTTAATGGAGTACGCTGTAAAAATTTTAGAATGGAAAAACCAAAACTGTAGAAGTTACGAGTTTTTTCATGCCTGCGTACATAACGTAGCACTGGCAGCGCATGTCTGCGTAAATGCAGAATATAATTTTTGAATGCAAAAAATTAGTTATTTAAATCTATCTCACACTCTAATGCATATATTTCACACCATAAAAAATATTGATGTGTAAATTTTGCATGGAATGACCCATATGTTTAGCCTTCAAAATATCTGTGCCTTTGCGTTCATAAAATGAGTAACAAAGCTCTTTTTCGCACGGAATTTATTAGATTGCAATTTTTTCCATTTCAATGCCTGTTGGAAATGCGGCAACTGATATTTTTTAAGGCATAATGAATTTGAAGTGAATCCATAAATATATCTCCAGACTTCAATAGATTCACAGTACGCCGTCTAGCTGCGAAAGCATTTTTTCATAAATAATAACGAAAATTTCTTTGAAAAGTATGTATATTAGGGTGATCCTTAAAACATTCACAGCATGGGGTTTTACGTACACGACAGTCGGGTCTACGCAACCGGAACGACCCAGATTTTTATTTGGCCAAGGACTGTCACTCCAGCAACACTCCCCAAAAACTCTTTGGGGAACTTGTATGCTGCTACAACAACAACAACAACGTACAAAAAATAAAGACATCCACGAAAATGTTTTAAGTTTTACTGACAAAAATGGCTCTAAATAATGCACAAATTATAATGCCGAATTTCCACTGGCATCGAGCTAAGAAAAACAAAGTCCTTAAAAATTTTGCTAATCCCAAGTTTAGTAGAAATCAGACATTACAGCCATTAAAAATCTATTTCCACATGGATGACTTTTGTTAGAACTTTTTTTCCATTTCAGTGCTTAATGAAAACTTTTTATAATTTTGCAATAATTTACTCAAAGTATAATAGTACGTTTCCACTAGAGTCAAATTCGCAATGCCGATTCTAATTCAAATTGAAACTGCTTACACGATTACAACATTGATACCAAGTTAAACATTAAAGTAGTTAAAACAGTGAAAAAAATTGACGCAGCCTGTAAACACCATACAAAAATCAATTGGTAACAAAAACAAAAAAAACGGCGAAATCAAAGAAACCCTGTTTCCGAAGTTTCAGTCGTCGAATGTGATGACTTCTTTCAGTCCAAAAACGGACCACTTCTTGGCTGATGTAATGTACAGTCGAGCAGTAAGCTTGGGCTTTGTTTCAATTAACGCTTTAAATTGTTTTATGGAAAATAAAATCTATTGTTTTTAGCAATTATGTATTTTGTTTTTTTTTTTTATTATTTAGTATTATTTCTCCTTCTTGCTTACAAAGCATTCACAATAAGAGCAACAAATCAATTAAAACCCGTATGGCAATTTCAGCCGCGCAATTAGGGGCTCATGAAAACATACTATAAAGAATTTTGAATTGTGATAAGGCATTCCGAAAACCATATCGCAAAAGCTACTGAAATGAAAGTTTCTTCGACAAACAAAATTTATGTACCTCAGCCAAACGATTATCATTTACTGAATGCTTAATTAATTGTTATTGATATTATTATAAAATTTTCAGTTGTTTAAAATTGCATACTTATTGAAATTTATGAGAGATAAAATTATGTAGTTTAGCAAGCAATTGGAAAACGAAATCGATGAGAACAGAAGGGCATGCAACAAACTGAAGACATACTAGGCTTATTTAAAGTAATTTTTTATTTTTTTTTAGTGTAAAAATAAAACAGAATATTAAAAAAATTTAATTGCGTGCTTCACTTAATTTAAATACGTTAAATTGTGTTATGAAAAAAAGAACTTTTTACCAACGCGTAGCAAGTATTCGAAACATTAGCCTTAAGTGCGCTGAAAACTCTTCCAGTAATGTTAGGTATTGCAAATTTGTTGTTGAAAACAAATTAGTTAATATTTTTTTTATTTTTACAACTAGCGCGAAAGTAAATGAATATTAAGTAATTAAAAAAGAAGTTAGGTAAAAAAATGTACGAAATATAAATAAAATTAATTTCGCTACTCGAAAAGTGCTTATAATGTATGCAAATCGCTAGCAAGTAACTGTAAAAAGTATCTCATGTCTATGACTTAAGCGTAACTGTTAAGTTTAGTCGTAAGTTGCCTAAGAAAGATAATCTTTTTTTATTAGTTAAAAACAGCACATCATAAATATTTATGAAAAAAATTTAAAAGAATTTCAATTGTATATTAAAAAAAAAAAAGTAATTAATTTGAAATATAACTTTAGCAAATATTAATTACAATACTGTAATTGAAAGAAAAAAATTACTTAGATTTTAGTTGATTTTTTATGGATACTCTAAGAATTCAATATTGTATTTTTACGCGATATTTATGAAGTTTGTAGCTGTAAACTGTAGTACGTTGCGATAAATTCACTTTGGTTAAGTTTTTTTAAGATTATTCAATACAAAATTTTTTTTATTTTTTAATGTGAAAAACTTCTGCAAATAAAATTCGCTCAAAAGACAACAAGCATAAAAGACATAATATTATTTAAATTTAATCAATGTGCTCGTTTAGCAATTAAATAGTAGTTATTTTTTTTTATATACATACATACATACATAAAATACTGTCAGAAGTGCTGTTCGAATGTAAACCAATTGTTTTGCATTTTTAGCGCCACCAACTATATTTGATGTGAAATAAAAAGAATATATTTTTAATTTTATGTTACTTGACTAGTTTGACTCTTGTTGCCGCAAAACTTTGCGAAAAAAGCTTTAATTTAGTTATTTTCATTTTTTACAATTATTTCGCATTAACTGATTTACTGATTTCCAAAAAAAAATTTATATAAAAAAATCGTTTCTTTTTTATAAATGTCTAAATTTTTTGTTCATAATGATTAATTAATTAAATTTTTTTAACCGTGTCTCTGTTTACTGTTTTTAATTTCTTCAACTTTGTTTCCTTTCGTGGCATCCTTTTATTTTGTTTCATGTTTTAAAAGCTAATGAATTTAATATACATAAAATCATGTAAAATAACACTTTGCAAAAATACCTTTTAAGTTTTTCGTAGCAATAGCCGTAATGTATTAAGTAATTAAGCGAAAATCTTTAAAAATACATTAATAAAACATTACATATTTTTATAAATTAAATCTTAATGTTGTTTGAATACATACATATTTCTATCATCGAGCGTAGTGAAAATTGTGTTTAGGGAGCCATAGAAATGAAAACCATTTCCATTTCACTAAAATCTTTCAAGAGTTTAAACTCATATCATATTATAGTCCTCGTTCCCACGACTGTCGAGTCTACGTAGATAGATAGATAGATACATAGATAGATTGAAACCAAGCGATCTATTGTGCCCTCAACCACTTACAGTACAGTACAGGCCTATGTAGGTACCTCTCCCGTCTTCTCGCAACCCCCTCGCATTCCGGAAGCAGGTGCAACGGAGTCTCCTCAGTCACGTCACAGAAACGACATTAGTAGTTCGACCAGATCTCTAGCNATACATACATACATAAAATACTGTCAGAAGTGCTGTTCGAATGTAAACCAATTGTTTTGCATTTTTAGCGCCACCAACTATATTTGATGTGAAATAAAAAGAATATATTTTTAATTTTATGTTACTTGACTAGTTTGACTCTTGTTGCCGCAAAACTTTGCGAAAAAAGCTTTAATTTAGTTATTTTCATTTTTTACAATTATTTCGCATTAACTGATTTACTGATTTCCAAAAAAAAATTTATATAAAAAAATCGTTTCTTTTTTATAAATGTCTAAATTTTTTGTTCATAATGATTAATTAATTAAATTTTTTTAACCGTGTCTCTGTTTACTGTTTTTAATTTCTTCAACTTTGTTTCCTTTCGTGGCATCCTTTTATTTTGTTTCATGTTTTAAAAGCTAATGAATTTAATATACATAAAATCATGTAAAATAACACTTTGCAAAAATACCTTTTAAGTTTTTCGTAGCAATAGCCGTAATGTATTAAGTAATTAAGCGAAAATCTTTAAAAATACATTAATAAAACATTACATATTTTTATAAATTAAATCTTAATGTTGTTTGAATACATACATATTTCTATCATCGAGCGTAGTGAAAATTGTGTTTAGGGAGCCATAGAAATGAAAACCATTTCCATTTCACTAAAATCTTTCAAGAGTTTAAACTCATATCATATTATAGTCCTCGTTCCCACGACTGTCGAGTCTACGTAGATAGATAGATAGATACATAGATAGATTGAAACCAAGCGATCTATTGTGCCCTCAACCACTTACAGTACAGTACAGGCCTATGTAGGTACCTCTCCCGTCTTCTCGCAACCCCCTCGCATTCCGGAAGCAGGTGCAACGGAGTCTCCTCAGTCACGTCACAGAAACGACATTAGTAGTTCGACCAGATCTCTAGCTTGTGCAGGTGACCTCTTAGTCTGCAGTGACCCGTCAGAAAAACCTGTTATTATCCTTACCCGATCTTTGGGAAGGTTTATTATTGCCCTGTACCATATGTACATAAGTATATCTGGTCAAGGACTATCACTCCAACATCACTCTCCAAAAACTCTTTGGGGAATTTGTATGCTGTTATAACAACAACAACGATGGATTCATCAATAGTCCCGATTACTGTATGTATAGTTTAGAAATTTTAATTTTTTCGCTTTTTGCGATCCCGGGATTTTCGAGATGTCGTTATCACAATCCCGGGATCCCGCCTGTATTTTTTAAGCTCTCCTACCATAAAATAAATAATAAATAAATGGGTTTGAAACCTACTTCTTTATTTAAAGAGGCGTTTTTATTTTTTTTTTCTCTGACGTCAGGTTATATTTTAAAGGACTTTGTAATTTCAAAGAAATGAGTAATTCCAAAAATTTTTTAAAAACTCAATGCAATGTAGAATACAAAAAATGGGTACCAAATTAAAGAGGAACTTTTTAGAATTTAAAATAATTAAATTTTTTTGGATTCACAAGAACGAATAGGTAATTTTTTTAGCTGATAAAGTTAGAAAGACGAAATTCGAGGATATTATCGAGTTTATATACAAACAAAAGCAACTTTGAACAATTCCTTTTTTCTACTCTCAATTTTATATGATTTTAAAATGTTGGAAAACTTAAAAAAAAAATCATGGCCGACGAATTGAGAGAACGGTTTTACATTACTATGCTTTATCATGCTTGAAACCACAACCAACTAGTTTTTAACACTGCGATAATTCATAATAGACTTTGTTCTCCCTTTCCGAGTCGTAATTTTTGTTTACTTTTTTTTACACAACCTTTAAACTTTATTAAAAAAAAAATGTTCAATAAATTTTTTGATATTAAAGTATTTTATTATTTTATGATATTAAAGTATCTCAGCTTATTTCCCAATGAAACTTTTTAAACAAATGTTTCTGCGCTACATAATTTTTACCCTCCTTTTAAATTAATTTCATTTCCGGCAGCGTATTACTTGCATTCTAAGTGAACAGTGTGCTTGCATACTGACAGGCGCTGGATTTAAATCTGCTCACGTGATTGAAGATACAAAAGGCAATTAAGCAAATTTTGTGTTAATTGACCTCACCTTATGCCCCGTACAGACAAATCTTGATAAAATGCGAAAAAATCAACTCATTTTGCAAATCTAAATACTTGTATGTACATACAAGTGTAAATGACAAAAAACGTTTTATTATGTCACTATCTTTATTTATAATCAAAAATTGCTACTGTCCAGCTACATTGTTTTAAACTATCTATGAAAGTTTCAGAAATTGAAACTCTTAAAAATACACATATAGAAGCGTTTAATTTGCGCTATCATCCACCTTTGCACTCATCCCATAGCTAGCTAAAACTTTTCAGTTTTCTTATACCGAACTCCAAGTTTATGAATTTCATACGATAGCTGCGGCAACGATTACCTCCTTTAAATAAGCAGTCACAGCTTTGTATGTACAAATTTCACTATACTTATGCTATAATGATATTTATTTAAAATCAGCTTCAATTGTCTTTCTTTGTATCCGCTGCAGTAACCACTTCAGCGCTTCCATCAGGGTCATTGATAGCAGCTGATTTTTCACTTCCACCGTTGGCAACAGTTTTGTTTTTAGGTGCTACGTACGGGCAGCTTCCACCTTTGCATTCAAATGGAAATTCCGGTCCATTTTTAATAACATTGCCTTGGGCGTCCTTTTTCTCCCAAGGATTCCAGTAACGTTGTATAATTGGTATCACAATGGGCTGGAAAAATCTGTGCCAAATGTAGAGCAGTACGGGAATGATGAAGCAAGGCACGCACACCATTATGACTGTTTGGAGCTTAATGCACGGAATATAAATGCAATTACTTTGGAGCAATTTTTCTCTGTTTAAATGAAGATAAAATTCCCAAACTATTTAGAATTTTCGTCCTTCAGAAGCAATAGAACACGTAAAAATTTTAATAGCAGTGATCAAAACAAACAAAATTGACAGCTCAATTTTATTAGTTTGTTTTTGAGTGACCATTTACTCGATAGATGTCGCAAAGCCATAGATTTAACCGGCCGTCTTCACATGCTTAAAATTCTCGTTGCGTTCTGTTTTTTTTCTCGCAAGCGAGATACGAGTTTTATTGAATGGGCATTTGACAGCATACTTTTTCATTTGTAAAATGTCGCACAAAAAGGTCTAGCTTTTCAAGCAAAGTTCTATTTTACACCAAAATAAACGATGTTTCTACTCAAGAATTCTGCGAAATGAGAAAATACCTGTGAAACAACAGAAATGATAGTGGAAAGCATGCGAGATCTTGCAAACCGCTCGGTATGCCAGAAAAAGTATGCTTCGTACATTTTGTCGTCTACACGTGCGGCATCTCGCATGCGTCGTCCGTCACGCTAGCGAGATTTGCCAGCACGTGAAGACGGCCGGGAAGATATCACGTCCACATTGGCAAGTTTTACTTCAGAGTATTTAGCGATGACGTAAACGGCCGATGATAATAGATAAAACAAATTCACTTCTCAAAATTAGGAGCACTTCACAATAATTAATGATAATAATTCATTTATCAATGAATCATGATCATAATCTTCATATGAATTAATTCAGAATTCTTTTATAGTTTTAATGCAGTGAATTTTGAATGGTTAATATCCACGTATTACCGAAGAACGTAGCGAGTAAGGTATTTACAAACTATTTTTATTTGCAAATAACTTATTTTTAAACGTAGTGTGTTACCTTTAGAGTTTGAAACTTTGATATCATGATACGAAATATTCCATGTTCATTATCTAAAAACAAAATAATTCTTTCGTTGCTCTGCAACCCTGTTTACTCGTTGCTTTCAATCGTTCAAATTGTTTGGCCAACAGCTGTCACTCGCTTTTTGCAATTAGACCCGTTTGGATGTTGTTCGTGCGGCGCTCGCGTTTTTCAGGTGCATTGGAATTGTTGGGAACTGGTCGGTTTTATTAATTGTTTATAATTATATTTCACCTTTCATATGTACATGGTAATGCTAATACCAATGATTAAATATTTAACCTCATAGAACAGCCTTTTTCGTAGCAAAGGCGATTGTAAAACGCGAGAGTGTGAAGTGTTATGATGGTGAAAAAGCTTGCAAAATAAAGGGAAAACCCAAAGAATAAAAGCAAAAGTAGCGCATTACGCAAAATCACAAAGCTGCATATTTAATACTTAAAAATTTAAAAGTGTTTTTAGAAAGGCATCAAGTGCATACACATTCCGCTCCAGCAACCAAGATTGTGAAAAAGAGAGTTGGAATAAGCGTACAATTGGAAGTTACACGATGTGGAGTCCAACGCATATACAAGTGACAGGTGAGTACATAACTGAAAGAAATATTTCCATTACGTTTTCGAATAACAAGTTAACTTTACGAAATCAACACTTTCAAGTAAGTGCTACGAAAATTTTGGTAAAATTTCAGAAACAGCCGCCGATGTAGTCAAGGTATCAGCATTTGTAAGCTCCACGCTAAACAAATTTTGATTGGCGACATTTATTTTAACTGTATTAAACCCATAGATACCCACCATGTAGGTACGTGCATAACTGCAATGACACAATTACGTTCAAACAGTTCTTCTAGTCCAGTTTTTATGTGAAAAATTCCAACGAACATTATGCAAAAGCAGAAAAAAAGAAATCTTAACTGTTTGCCAACGACTACAGCTCCCATTGTTGATTCCACTGTTCGTAGCTTTATGTTAGAGCGATATTGACATCGCTCGCTGTCATCGTTGCCATCAAAGCAATTGGTGGATGGAATTGTGAGTCGCCACTTTCGTTGTTCATAAACACATATATTATGCAGCACCTCATCGATATATGTATCTACAGCTTGGATAGCAGAAAGCAGGTTTTCTAAAAATCGTCACAGCACAGTCAGAAAACGAGCGGCCACAAAATTAAGTTTTAAATAGGGCTGATGATACCCGGGTACCCGGTTACCCGGGTATTACCCGG